AGGTATTTTTAATATTAAAAAAAATGCCCGTATAAAATTATGTGATTATATAGAGTTTGTGATTATATAGGAGGTGACTGTATGGGAGGACGACTGTATTACATAGTCAAATCTTTACTATATTTTGTTATTATATCTGTTTTAGAAAAAATCTTATATGTATCGAAAGTTTACTAATTAACTTCATTATATCGAGCAAAAGCTTATTAATAATGATTTTGTTATAAACAAATTCTTTACTATAAACCAATCTTCACTATAGCGAGAGCTCACTATAATGAGAGTTCACTATAACTAGAGTGACTTGTACACTAAAGAATGTTGCTAAATCTCACTGCAGGTGATCATTACCAACTAATTGTAGGATCTTGTACATATAACTTTATTATGATAACGCATCTTTGGGCACTAAGTAAAAATTTCAGCGTACAATTTACATATAATTTTGCTTCTCTAACCCTAACTCTAAACCTCGATTCTTTAAACAATGTCGCAGATCATAATGAAATAGATTCTATTTGACCCCCTAAAACCCTCTTATACTTGTTTATTATAAAACCTGCTTCTAAACCCTAATCCTAAACCTAAAAAATGCTAAAAAAAATGTACCCCAAAAATTTGTATTTTTCGGTGGCTTGTCTATTTTACACTCATTTCATTTAAATCCGATTTAATCTGCCACAATATATGCGGTGATCACCTGCGGTGAGGTTAAGTAAAACTATTTTTTATTTTATTGATAATCATTTCACAAACATGCAAATCACGCTACGCGACAATTTACTAACTACAACTACATTCTAAATTGCCATATTATGATGTTAGTATTGGTAAATGATTGTTGGTGAAATGTGCCACACCAATTATAATGGTACGTACGTACGTACGCACGCAAAAAAAAGGGGTCATCGCGGAGTCAAATCATGTGAGCAACCACCGATCAAATTATAGAATTTTGATGATCGCCGGCGAAGCAAACCTGAAAAATACAAAAAACAGCAGTCTAAACCTACCTCAGGTAGGTTAATCAAAAATGTCGGGAAGGCAATTTTACTTATATATAACTACCTAAAGCCTAACCCTAACCCTAATATAGGATGACCCTAACCCTAAAGTTAATCGAGAAAAATATGAGTTAACGCCGCTTTAGACGTCCCTCGCAAAAGGAGGTTTGTATAATAGACTCGGGTATCTTAAATTCCACCAAATTCTTAACCTTGGTATATACCCGGGCTTAAAACGAGGTATACCGATTCAATCAAGTGGGGCGATTTACGATAATATGGTTCCAATTTCATCCAGTAAGATCCAAGTAATCTTTCAGTTCCAGTAATTTTCCTTAGAATATCCAGTTAACAACGCTGGTCTTAATCGAATTTCAAAAATTGAGTCCGATTTAGACAATTCGAAATTCAGTCATTTTTTCTTTTCCGAGTAATTTAAAGCTATAGTATTTTTTTTGAGTTTGGACGGCAGCTATCATCCGGGGGTGTTATATTACAATACTGCAATATACAGTATACGGCCAGTGTTGTACACGGTTTTAAAAAAAAAAAGGTCAAATAGTTCAAAATTTTATTAAGATAACCTTCTTTCAGCTCTTAGATAAAAATGTTCGAAATTTAGGTTTACATATATTTACATTATTTTTTAATATAATTTTATAAGTTGAAAGTTGAGATATTGATGGGACGTCCCCGGATGGACAAATCCAAGAAGGCTCGGGACAGTCAGTGTACAACGCATGATGATTATGGAATCTTAGAATTTGTTTTATATGACGTAATAGACAAGATTTGCATTATGCCGCAGCACGATGTTGGAACGTAACACTGAAACCTCCCTAAGCTTTTTATAATGATATTATTCTTACTTGTGTTCCAATATTTCAAGGGAGTTTTTATAAGAAATACTGCACTGGAGAAATAGCAAAATTAATTTGATAGTTTTGTGTGAATTTGACTTAAGAGAGCAGTTAAAATATAACTGCGCATGTTCATAAGAAAGTTGCTCGGGCTGAAAAATTATGAACACAACGCAAATACCACCACGAAACATTGTTCCACCTCCTCGTCCGTCCCACAACGGCTTACCAAACTCGTCGCCTGCAGGAAGAAGCCCACCAACCACTTTACAGTCCTCCTCCCCCAAAACGTCTGAAAAAAACCACACATATAACCAAACCGTTGTTGGCCACTCACTCGTACCTCAACGTTCAGCTCCGCCGCCACCAAAATCTGTGCAAAATTCTGTACAAATGAGCAGCAGCGCTTCCGGTTTGAGTCATAATGGTAATCTAAAATCAAACTCGTTAAATTCACGTCGCGGGCCTCCCACTTCAAAAAAATCTGCGAGCTTAGGACCGCCTCCAAAGCCTAACCGAACAACGGCCAGTACGCCAACGAGTCAGTCGCCTTTAGCTCGAAGTCCGTCCGCTGGTAGTGCCCTGACAAAATCTCCAGGCATGTCAACAGATTCTGCTAGTGTTTCTCCTACTTCAACCAAATATTCGCCAGGCGGAAGTTACAGTTCTGTTAAAGGCCCACCTATCAATGTACACGGTGAGACTATCCAGCCAAGCAATGAGAAAGACGGGAACAACAGATCTTTAAAAGGAGTGCTGAATACTTTCGGCAGTTTAATGTCTGGTAAGCAAATTAATTATTCTTATTTTTGATAGTCAATTTTGTTAATTGGAGGATCTAGGTAATGTAACTCTTATGTTTAAATGTCTAATGTCAAAATTGCCTTTAAATATGTTAGATTTGTTATCAACACAAAAAAGAGTAGAAATTTCTTCGCCTTATGATCCAGTTCATTTAACTCACGTTGGATTCAATCAAGAAACTGGTGAATTTACGGTGAATTTACACTTACTTTTTAAAATATATATGTGTGTTCTCCAATTTTCTTCAAAACATTTAATATATGCTACCTATTAGGGCTTACCGAAAGAATGGCAACAGTTGTTACAAGAATCCGGTATCTCGAAAGAGGATCAACAAGCCCACCCTCAAGTATGCTTATATTTACATATGAAGTTTTCCTTGATTAAAACATCATTTTATGCTAAATAACGAAACGTTAATAATAGGCTGTGTTGGAAATTGTAAAATTTTACCAAGATAATACAGCTGGGGCGAAAAATTCAATTTGGGAAAAATTTAATAATGCCACACTCAAAAATCAATCTCCACCATCTAGCTTGCCAACTTCACCACGCATGGTGGATAAACCATTTGAGAATCCTGTGAGTGTAGAAAACTTCGTAATTTTGATATTAGTTCGCTAATTAACTATACGGTGAACAATCATTTGGGCAGGGTCAAATAAGGATGAATTTCATTTATATTTCGTTTTCGAATTAGAGATCTGCACCAACCCCCCCTTCGGAAAAGAAAAAACCAAATCCCCCCGTTGTCCCTTCAAGATCAACCAATACAACAACAAATGCACAAAGTGTTTCGGTAGGTTAAATAAAAGTTAATTTATTATTTTTATTTTTCATGGTAGTAAATAAATATTGATATTATTTTTAACAACTTTATAGGATAAAAGTAACAATCGGCCAAAATCACCAAGCAAGGCTTCTTCACCAAAGCCTCCACGTAGTAAGTATTGCGTAATAAAGGAATTTTATTATCAACTTTATGATATTTATTTATATAAACACGCTTTCACATATTTAGGCCAAGAACCTCCAAAGCTTCCTCCAATACAGCCGTTGCCTCCGCTCGAAAGTCGGACGATGCCGATAGCACCTCCAAAACCGGCCCCAAAACCACCTCGTCCGAAGGAGTCCAATAACCAAGTACCACCACCGCCACAAACTGCTCCTCCTACTTCTAAACCTTCACAACAACCAGCAACTGGTACTTCCGGTCCCGTTGCGAAACCACCACCGCCTAATACTCAACGACGACAACAACGTAAACCAGCAAAAGATTCTATAGATGTCATTGAGAGATTGAAGGTTATCTGTACTGACGCTGATCCGACGAAATTATATCGAAACTTGGTTAAAATCGGTCAGGGGTAAGAATATATAATGTTTATTATTTGAACGTTATTACTGAAAACTATACAAATATATATTCATAATTTGTATATTTTAACTGATTATATTTTTTGTTATAAAGTGCATCAGGTGGTGTTTTTACTGCTTATCAAGTAGGAACAAACATGTCAGTTGCTATTAAACAAATGAACCTCGAGCAGCAACCAAAGAAAGACCTCATTATAAATGAAATATTGGTCATGAAAGAATCAAGGCATCGCAATATTGTAAATTACATTGATAGTTTCCTTTGGAAAGGTGATCTTTGGGTAGTTATGGAATTTATGGAAGGTGGTAGTTTGACAGATGTTGTAACCAATAATATAATGACGGAAGGTCAAATTGCAGCTGTATGTAGAGAGGTAAGACTAGATTTTGTTATGTTGAAATGAAGTCCCATACTTCAATACAATTCATTTCAATTTATAATTTTTCACATTATTTGAACAGACTTTGGAAGGTCTAGCACATTTACATTCAAAAGGTGTAATTCATAGAGACATTAAGAGTGATAATGTTTTGTTAGCACTAAACGGCGACATTAAGCTTAGTATGTATATCTTTGAAATATTATATAGCTATTGCATGCAATAACCTGCATTATCCAGTAGCTTACTATGATTTATCTGCCTTATAATTTTATTATTCGCAGAGATAATGGTTTAAACTACTTTTAACTACTGTCTCTGCACAATAATAAAATTATTGGACAGATAAATCATAATAAACCGTTGGATTAATCCGTTATCAGGCGGTGCCTGCTTGATAACCTATTATTATTTACTTCGTTCAGAATAATTTTACATTTACTCGTTTTTTTTCTAGCCGATTTTGGTTTCTGTGCCCAAATTAACGAAAATCACAACAAACGCACAACCATGGTCGGTACACCATATTGGATGGCCCCCGAAGTAGTGACACGTAAAGAATATGGACCAAAGGTTGATATATGGTCATTAGGAATTATGGCCATTGAAATGGTTGAAGGTGAACCACCGTATCTGAATGAAAATCCTTTGAGGGTCTGTACAAATCTTTGTTCAACGATTATTACCATCTGTTTTATGTCAAATTTATTTAGCCTATTTTATCATCCAGGCTTTATATCTTATTGCAACAAATGGAACGCCTCAATTGCAAAACCCTGAAAGTTTGTCACAAGTCTTCCGAGAATTTTTGAATTTATCGTTAGAAGTTGATGCAGACAGGAGACCAACTGCGGTTGAGCTTCTTAAGGTAAAAAAGTTTGCATGGAATTTATTGATGAATTTATTAATTATTCGCATATTCATAAAACTATTAAATGCTTGTAAATATAGCACAAATTTTTACAAAAAGCCGAGCCCCTTAAATCGCTTGCCCCGCTGATTAAGTCCGCAAGGGAAAATGCAAAGAAGGGCTAATTAAATGCAAATGCACAAGTATATTTTATTGGAGAACTTAGATAATACAAGCGAAAAAAAGTAGAGTAACATATCTTCTGATAATATTATTTCCGTTACTGTTTTTACTATTACATAGTTGTTTTTCTTTTTTTTGATGGAATTACTTTTATTTATGGACATTTTTTGTATGATGTTTTTTTATTTTATTTTATTTAGACTTTTTTTTGGGTAAATTTGATTGTTAGGTCCGACAAAGTAGTATTTTTTTTTTCATTTTAAAAGATGATCCATTAGTGCACATAAATCAATGTATAGTTTGTTTCTTTCCAAATCGATCTTTCTTCCGTCTCATTCCTTGCATCCTTTCTAGCCATCGATTTACATATATTTCTTTTGCTCATATTTTAACCCATAGAATTTATGTTCGCGCATGTATTTTCCACTTCTATTGCTTTGTAGATTTATTATATATTTTATTTAGTAACATTTTTCAAACTGCGCATGCAAAAAGCACATGGGTGATCCAAAGAATATGTTTGGGCATTTATTTCAAACGTGTCGGTATGAAATGCAACAAGAATTGCAAGAATGAGATTTGTATCACTTATGGTTTTGGAAAGTCATTTAATTTCGGTATATCATTTGGATGAGCCTTGTAGGTGTTGTCTATTGTGCGACTTGGTGCAATGTTGTTGAATGCAAAGTTTTTAAATGGTAAAAAGGATTTTCACGATAATTGTCTAGATAACGCTAACTTCAAACCTATTGTTTTATTTTAGTTTGTTTTGTTAGATGTAAATTATATAAATATATCATTAAATTAAATATTTTATAATTACATTTATTTTTTTATAACAATAAATATATTTGCTGCATTGGCAATTATAGTATTGGTTATGGAAACTGGACCCCCTTCTAACTTTTACAAGTATCTATATACTACAGTATTACATATATCGTAAACCCCTTTTTTTGAAGGATTTACTATTTGTGCCGGTAATACAACTCAAAAAAGGAAATTTAATTTTGTTTTCGCTTTCGCACGTGCTCGGAAGTCATGTCGGGCTGATCCGGAACGATCAAAATTTGAACTCACTGATTGGCTATTTCCTTTTTAGGAGTTTGTATTATCGGCCCGATGCTGTTTAGAGTAAAAACGTCACAAACGAGGCTTTAAGTATCTTGAGTATCTCTGGGATTCACTCTACCTAGGTAGACTTAACTTAGACATATGGGCCGATTTTTAGAATTTATAAATAGAATGTATTTTTTAAAAACTTTAAAGCTAAATAACTTC